GGTTATACAAAATTACATACAAGAGGAAGTGAGGGGAAAGGGAAAAATAATACAAGGGGGAGAAATGAATTACAGTAGAGGGGGTAGAGAGAGAAGAGGGGAAGGGAGGGGAGGGGAGGGGAGGGGGGATAGTAGAGGATTGGAAAGGCAGCAGAATACAACAGACACTAGTATGGAAATATGTAAAACAGTGGATGTGTAACCGATGTGATTCTGCAATCTGTATATGGGGTAAAAACGGGAGTTCATAACCCATTTGAATCAAAGTGTGAAATATGATATGTCAAGAACTATGTAATGTTTTGAACAACCAACAATAAAATAAAAAGAAAACTTACATGGTAAAAAAAATTAAAAAAATAAAGTGTATCATATGAAACATTTGAAAACAATGGAGAAGCCCTAATTTGCATAATAATATGCACTGATTTGAAAAAATAAATAAATATTTAAAAATCCTCTCTCTCTTTCTCTCAGTCTCTCTTTTAAAAATAATTTATTGATGAACCACTAGGGTCATTAGATGATGGTGGATGTGTGTGTGTGTGTGTGTGTGTGTGTGTGTGTGTGTGCAGGTGCACTTTTATCCACATACCTATAGGTAGTGTATTTAAGTATGTGTGTGTGTATGCATGTATTTGTGTATGTGTGTTTTGATAGGCAAATAAATTCGAAGAGCTCAAGGAGCAAGACTGCTATTGCTGTCCCTGTTAATGGAAAATGCATGTGAAAACTCAGGATGGTTCCATATGGTTAAAAACTGAGTTAAGCTGGGCCTGGTGGCACACGCCTGTAATCGCACTGGCGTGGGAGGCTGAGGCAGGAGTTCAAAGCCAACCTCAGCAAAAGTGAGGTGCTAAGCAACTCAGTGAGACCCTATCTCTAAATAAAATACAACATAGGATTGGGGATGTGGCTCAGTGGTTAAGTGCCTCTGAGTTCAACCCCTGGTACCAAAAACAAAACAAAACAAAACAAAAAAATTAAACTGAACATTGCTTTGGTTCAATGTTGAGCTAGATATATTTACCTAACTGGTGTAGCAGCCATTCTTCAAGCCAGCTCAAATGATAAAACAAAAAAAAATCTAATTCATAGAAGCAGAGTGTAAGAAGCCCAAGTTAAAGTGTGAAGAAGTATGTAACAGCAAATTTTAAGCTCTAATTGAGGTGCAGGTGATCAGAGAAAGTTAGTTAGGGAAGGACACTACTAAAAAGCCTTTAGTAATTGCATAATATGAGGATGTTAGACAGGGACATATTCTTCCTCTGGTTGTGCCTGCATAGGACAGAAAAGATTCCTCACCCACTACAAGGTTTATGGCTGAAGCAGGTAGACTGAATCTTAATGGACAATCACACACAAGTACAACTGGAGAACAAAGGACATGATCTAAAGGTAATAAAGTGGGGGACTTAGCAAGCCTGTTTGTTCAGATTCTTCTTTGCATCCCTCTGTTTTCAGAGATAAGCACATTTCTTTCTTTTGGGTGTAGGGAGGACCCTTCTGGAATGACAATCTTATGATCTACTTCTAGGAAAGATCAGCTAAGTTTTATGTCCTGCTGCAGGGAAGAAGGTGTGCAGGGAATTCTTTCTAGTTTTTATGGTTTGCTTTAGTAGAAATGGTGAGGRGAGAGAAGGTCAGAGACCTTCCTGCTTCTGTGGTTTCTTCAAATGCAAGGCGCTGTATTTTGGAACAGTGGGCCTTGAGCACCATCACATGCATGCTTGAATTTTCTTATTTTTGACAGTTATAGTCTGAGAAAATTTACTGATTTTAATCATAAATTTCATAGATGGGCAATCATTTGGATTGTCATTCAAACAACTGAGGGAACATTGACTATGTGAAAAATAAATTATGCAGAAAACAAAATGCACAAACATGATAGGTAGTAAGGAAATTGGAGAAGGTCTGACAGAGGAGGTGGAAGTGGAACTAAACCCAACTGAGAAGAAGGAATTGGTTGTAGAAAATTCTGGGAGCATCAAGAGTAAAGACCCACTGCCATAAGACATGRGGAAGAGTTGTAGCAGGGTAGATTGGATAAAACAAAGCAGTCCAGAATGTCTGGGTCATGWACTGAGGCTTCACCAGCTCATCCAAAATTCCTATACTATGAATTCTTGTTTGACAGGAAAATGACTAAATTTTCAGAGATTTAATTTTCCCATCTCTAAAATGAGGATGCTGGATTAATATATGGAAGCTCCTCTAGATGGGCAAGATCTATAAGCCTGTAATGTCAAACCATCTTCTACCTACATTGTTCCTTGGAGATCAAGTGGCCTCACCCCCCCCCCCCCATTCCTCAGCTGAGAAGCCGGGGGATGTTAATGGGCTTGGCCAAGTTCATGCCATGCACCAGGGGAGGATCCAGGGACCTATATGGATAGAGGACTACCCACAGTACACTACAGAGACCATGGAGAATCCTATTAGGGCTGTGTGTTGTTGGAGGGAGGTGAGAAGAGAGRGGAACTAAGATGGGAAGATAAGAAACAGATGTTGTTTATAATAAACAGAAGGCAATTAAAGCAGAAGACAATGCAAAAGATGACATTCTCAGTCTGAACTTTTTGGGTAGATATCCAATGAGCTCTACTAACCAAGAGTAAGTAGTTGGGGAGTTCCCAGAAGGATGGGGTTTAAGGAGGTGGCATGAGMTGACTTATAGAATTCATATATCATTACATCGGCAGTGCAAGAACAAGACTTGTTAAGCACTTATTGGGTGTCAAGAGCCATGCTAAGTGTCACATGTACATTTTATCCAATCCAACAAAAACCTTATAAAGGAGATTACTGTTCCAAAACTGGAAAACAGAGTCAGGGAGTTTAGTTGATGTGCTTAGGGGCTCCCAGATGGTCAGTAGTAGGGCTGTGATTTATCCCAGGTAATCTGGCTCCTAAGCCTGTACTCTAACACTCATGATATACTGCTCCCCAGATCAAAGAGGAATGGAAATTCTTTTTTAGGCCCAGGGAATAATGTGAACAAAGGCAGGAATGCACAGCAGTTTCTCTTTAGTTGGTAATTTTCTACCRGTTTCCCTATGAGCTCCATTGCAGTTAGCTAGAAAATCTTGTAACCTTTCCCCTCATGTCCTTCCTCAGCCCCACATCTGTTTGAAATAGTATCTCTTTGCTCCAGCACTCTCTCATTAAGGGTATCTCAGATTTTTGGGAGTAGCCTGGCCCCCCCAAAGCACATCCATCTATTAAATCCCTATGGTTTTTTAGCTTTTACTTACCCACACACATATGACCTCCAACACTTATACACCACAGAGGTCTGGAAATAAACTTGCCACAGAAAATACACATCATAATCACAGCCTATGTGCATATGGCGCTCTATTGTATGCCTGAACTGGATATCCCCGCCATTCAAAAACATGTGACCTCTCTGAGTTTTCTGGGTCATGGGGTTTTCTATGGAACTGAGAATGGGGGAAATAATATTACTTGATATTTTATATTATTATGGAATATGATTATAGTTTTAGCTGCAACAATATTATTGGCAATTTTTAAGAGTCCTTATTTTTCACAGATTCATACCAAGATAATGTGGTATGAGGAGAAAATGGGATGGAGGAACGAATGAACCAAGTTTCAGACTCTGAATCACTAAATGTTGAAGCTGGGTGAAGGCTACTCAGGAGTTTATTACAYTATTTTCCCCACTTTTTTATGTATGTGAAATTTCCATAATAAAATGTTTTTTGAAAGATTGCATCTGATTGRCGAAGGAACCATAGTTGTACAAACAATATCCTCCAGAAGTTCCAGAAAAGAGTGGATGAAGAGGTAAGACCCCCAAACACCCTGAACTCCAGGACAAGGGAAGGGTCTTTTCCCCAAGAAATTCATTGAAAATTATCTCTACCCCACGACAGAGTCAGAAATAATCATCCACTGCTTGAGAGGTATCCACATTTACACATTTATTTRGGTTAAGAGAGACAACACAGATAAAATACTTTGATCATACACAAGTTTACATTTGGTAAGAAGAACAGGTTACCACATGTTTGTATATTTTATTTTTTAATTTTTTTTTCTGTCTTTAGTAATGGAGTGATGCTGGGGAAATGTTGACGTCATTCAGAAACACCAGTTGGGAACAGTATTTTGGCACACATGACTAATAGATACACAGTTTGCATTTAGCACTTAAAACAGAAGAGCACGTGCAAGATGATTCCCAGTTTGAGGTTCCTCGATCCTTTGCCCTGYTACTATATGTACACCTGTGCTTTCTTGGTCCATATTCTGAGGAGTAGCACCTACTCCAAGACCCAGAAGTCAACACCTGCAATGTTGGCTATTTGTGACACTCCATAATTGGCTTCTTTTATTCCTCCAGATGAAGTAGTGTTCACCTTGCATTTTCTGAAATCACACAGTTCTCAAAGGAGATTTCTCAGGAGGGGACTTAGCTGAGGGCAGGTTCTCTATTAGAGCTGATGTGGAGGGYGTACAGTTTATTTTGGCAGGGGAGGATGAGAGAGGGGAGAGAAAGAACAGGAACACAAGCAAGTGCAGTTCTCATAATATCAAAGTTCAATACAGCTACCACACAGAAGAAAACATACCAATAATATATTGTACAAGCTTTTACAGCAACACATGTTGATTTGCGACACTGTACAGTTCAGATATAAAGTGCACAACCCCAATCTGAGGTGACAAGACAGTACTATCAATGTAATAAAGGCAACACAGTCACACACACTCAATTTCCTTTTCTTGCCTTACATYCTGTGACAGTACGTGAAGTCCATACCATTTGTAGGTCTCAGATAAAGACATACTGTACTTTTTTTTTCAAGTATTTTAAATAATTAACACAATATTGCTGTATAAATAAAAATGGCCATGTCAATTATGATTAAAGCTAAAACCAAACGTTTCTAAGATTTTTAAAGAATGGTCCCAYATAAAGATTTCTGGCACTGGGAATTTTGGTTAATGTTCAAAACATTCTCTCTTCTTTTTTTTTTTCCCCCTTGGTTCCTTTGTTCCTTCCTTCTTCCCKTCCTCCTTCCATCTTGTGAGGACTACAGATCTACCTTAAAAAGTACTTATTATATTACTGGGAGATATTAGGCTTTAATTTGCCTCCTTTCCTGGGCTATGGGTGGTAAAGATTTCCCTGGACAGGCCTGGGCAAGTTTCCCAGCAAATCTGAGAAAAGATCTAGAAGGACCTAGAAAGGGCAGAGGTGGGAGAGAGAAGAAACCTTATTGGTAAAAATTATTTGGCTGGAATTTCATACCCAGGTACAAATTCTCCTTTTAAATTCTGCCATGCCATCAAGCTAAAAACAGGTTCTGCTGTAGGATCTGTCCTCYGAGTGCTAAGCATCCTGGGGAGAGAGAGATTGGTCCAACAGGGTACAGGGCCCTGTCATCTTCTCCAAGCAAAACAGCAGGTTTGGTAGAGTCTCTGTCTCTGAAATGAGACCTTTGGGCTTGAGGCTCAAGATGGATGGGCAATGGTGTGCTTATTCTCAGGAGTCAATTCTAGAAAGGAGAGRGATGCTTGCCCATTAGAGAAAGTCTGCAATGTCGATAAAGTTGTTTCTTTCTTTTTTTTTTTCCTAGTTGCCATAGGGCATCCATTTGCTTTCTAGACAGAAAAGCCCAAAGCCATATCAAGTCTGAATGTTATATATGACCTGGGAGAAATAAGGTAGGGGCAAACTCATGAAGATTTTAGATGGCCACATCCTGGTTATATTATGGGGTATTTCTATGTGTGAAAGGACAGAGCCCTATTTCTTCTGTACCAGTAGTAGCCTTTCTGACTATAGAACTTCCCAGTCCCCAGGAAGAATGTGGCTAGATTTGTATCTGCACTCTGTATAGCCGAGGCTGCAGTTCTCCTACCAGCTCTTGGAATCAGACATTCTACGGCCCCATAAATATCTATGGGAGCTTTGCTAGTCTCTCCATGAGGTTTGCAAAGGAAGACAGATTTTTTAAAAAAATACTGTTCTAATTTTAATACTTTCTTCATATTCTGGTTACTTTGGCTTTTGATGGGAGACATATGATGAAAAGGTCTKCATATATCTCAAAATCTAAGGTGARGAGCTTATTTCGTGAAAGAAWAATAACCACTCATTGGAATATTAATTCATTATTTAGGATCTAAGTGAGAGAGAGTCTAGCAGGAGAAATTTTTGTRTACAGGAATGGGTAGGGGATGGGGATAAGTAATTACTCAGGAGGTAAATGACTCCTTCCAGGGATGGTAGCAATATGGCATCCAGGGTGATGTYATTGTTGTCTCACAGGGCTCTCTTCTCCCAAGGCTGAATTGAAMATTATGGGCTCACCACATTCTGGGAAAGTGTTTCATTCCCTTTTGCTCAGGCTGATTAGGTTTTATTTTTATTTTTTCTAATTAATCCAAATGACCTCATAAAAGAATACTGTTTGGGAAGATGCCTCAAGAATCAGCATCAACCTTCTGTCCAAAACAGGCCCAACTAGATAATAGAATAGATGCCTACCCTAATTTAATCTYGGATGAAACGTAACTTGTCATGCTTACAGGGTGGGTCTGCTAAGGGAAAACTGGGTGAGAAATTTAAATGGGAATAGAATCTTAATTGCTGATCTGATCAATCAGTTTTATAAGCTTGCAATATTCTTTTTTGTTGGCTTTGAACTACTAACTTTAGAGATGTGATAAGCCATAACATGTTCTGAAAGAAGGTCTTATATACCCTTTAAGAATTTTGTGGGCCTATGTGTTAAAATAACCTTGCTAARTGTTTTGTTGTGCCTTCATTAAAAGAAAGAGAGAGAAAAAAAAAATCTGGCTTAGGTTTCATATCTGCCCCTGCAGTTTGTATAACCCATATAAAATAAAAATCTATATGTTACAAAATAGGATTTCTTTTTAATATATATATTTTCCTTTTGTAAAATTATATGTATTTAAATACATTTGAAATGTTGCTATAGGTAAATTAGAAATTTTTTTCTAATACTATGAAAAAGGCAAGAGTTTTTATTGTCAACATACAGTTTATATTTACTTTATCCTTTTTACTGCACCCCCAAAGAACCTTTTAGGATTCAGGGGCAATTTGGCACTATTCAATCCTACTACTCTGACATGAAAATAAATAAATTGATTTGCACACTRTATTAAAAGTAAGGGAAGTATTTATAACAATTTTAAGCTTTTCCTTATTGATTAGAACACAGCCGTTTGTCACTAATTATTAGAGAGGTATTCTGAACTTAAGAAAGGGTTTTTAAAAGGAGCAATTTTTAAACTGTTACTCTACTCTGACACCACAATATAGAAATAGATTTACTTTGGAACAAACTACAAATACATTTACACCGTTTGTGACAACTTAATTGTCTACTTAGAGAATTGAAACAGCTTAGTGAGTTAAGTTATTATAAATCTTGCCCAAGGCGTTCTATTTCTTCAATCAGGAAGTCAATGTCTTGGTGAGTTGCTGCAGGATTTGAGATGACCATGCGGAAGAAATTGACTTTGTCTCCCAAGGGTTGGTAGCTGACCATAGTGGTCCCATACTCCATCATTCTGGCTTTGATCACYGGAGCCACCTGTGGGAGAGACCATATCAGCATGGTGGTCCTTTCCTCTGGGGACAATCCTTTTGCCAAGGAACCCACTAGCAAGAAGCATTTTTATTYTTTAACTCAGCAGAACATATTCGTTCTCTCTTGAAGGAATTGCCTCCAAGTTTTCATGGGATCAGAGCACCTGAACAGTTTAATCCACTCAAGATCCTGAAGTTTGCAAGAATAATAATAGGAGGTTCTCAGGCACTTGCTACCTGAGTCTTGACTTTCTAGTYAGTGTGTTGGGAGAATGAGAAGGATCTGGTTTGGATCCCAAGGTGGAGTGGTTCAGCAGTACAAATCTAGAGGAGGTTCCCTGAGCCACTCGCCAGCTAGAAATTATAAAATCATTGGAAATAAAACATAATTYAGAGAACTGTTACCAAGAGGTGAGCCTCAGTATCTAGTGATGTATGAAAATAATAGACTTTTGGCAACTTTCTTGAGACCTTAAACTGTTCTAGTTTCTTTTTACTTTCTTTTGGCATTGCTTCTATTTGTAAGATATTTTGAAAGGTAGCCATYAATAGCATGAAGAACTGGCGGGATAGAAAACTGAACCCATAAGGACTTTAAGACAGGAACATATCCCAKGCCAAGATTTTACAGGATTTTTGCCAGGCTGCTCCTAACAGCCTTAGTTCTCTGTGGGTTATAAAATGAAATTTATGCTCTTTAGCTTGGCACAAAGGCCTTTGTCATCCAGCCCTGAGACACCATCTTCCTCTGCTCACCAATATGAGTCTTCAAGTCTGACAAGACTAATTTTTACARATATCCTTGGATGTACCACCCATATTTTCATCTTTCCATACAGTCATCCATCTRACCATGTCATGCATATTCACTTTGCTTAGAATCTCTTTCTCTTTCAGGTCACATCCTGCATAGGCTGCAGGACTCTGTCATGATCCTACAATAGCTATAAAGCCTTTCCTATCTTCTCTAGTCCATTAGTATCTTTCTTCTAGGTTGTAATTACATGATTCCTACCCAGAGATTCCAACTACATGCTAATTTTCTATTGACCTGCTACTGATGAGCAAATACATTTTCCCTCTCTACCTCATCTGTAAACTCCTGGAGGGCAGGTGCAGTGTCTTTTGCTTCTTTTGTTTTTCAGTATAGTGATGGATATATGTTGAGGGCTTTCTGAATTTTAATTGACTATAAAGAGTAGCAATAATAGCAACAGCTATCTAGGAAGACACATACATTTAAGGTGATCCCAAATGGATGTATGATCTGTCCAATTTACTGTTGGAATTYGTAAATATAATGTCTGATCTTTTAAGTTCATTGCTRCAAATATATAACCAGGAATGGTAGRAGTCAAAGAAGGCTTAGTCTTATTTGAGATATACATGATTAGAAACTCAGCTGAAAATGGTAACCATATCTTATACCACACTGGACTTCACTTTCAATGAAAGTTAGATTCAAATGGAATKCCCTTGAGAGTCAACTTATAAGTAATCATTGCTTTACAACAATGCTTTCATCTTCAATGTACTCAATGAACAAAGGTTCAACTATGCATTGGTTACCAAAGAAAGACAAGGGAGACAGGTAGAATTCACCTTCATCTTCACTTCACATTCTGAAAACAGYTTCCTCATCTAAAAATAAATGTGGATAATGATTCCAGCACTAATATTTTCTGACTCTAGATTAAAGAGTTCTTATATCCCTTCCTGCCTCTTCCTTGTTCCATGGGGGTGATATAAAGAGGAAAGCTTCTGTTGGATGAATCCTTTCACCTAAAGGGTTAATGATGTACACAGAGCACTGGGCTCATCCCAGGGAATAAATATTTTTTAAAAATTTAAATATCTTAWGTCTGGAATTAAGTTCTGAAAGTAGATCTACTAGAATAYTCTAGCATAAGGACATGAAATTTSAGAGGCRTCACAAGTCACTGTGTTCTGGGAAGAAAAATCTTAAATTAGAAAAAGAATTCCAAATCCACATGGCTACAGAAATTCAAGRGAAAAAAGTCACATAACCAWCCCTCAGTTTYATTTGTACAAGACATTCTTGATCTTTAGTATTGGTAAAACAATGGTAATGCTTGACTAAAGCAATTTGAACTCTCAATTCATTTTCACGGGCAACCCATGCAAAAACACATAAGAATGGCAGTGGGAATAATCTTTAACCTCTCAGATGAATGTAAATCAAAGGTCAAAAGATTAATGCAACAGATTTTGACATAAAGTGAARTTGAATCCCCTCAGTTCCTGAAGCAAGCTGAGTTGGCAGGAATCACAGCTATTTAAAAACATAACTTTTGGTTGTTTCCAGAAAATACTGATGAACTAAAATTAGCTGGAACATKGAATATCTACCTCATTGCATTTTCACTAATTGCAAGTTAAAAAGAATATTAAGAGTCCTGTGGTTCTGATAGAGAGTTTTATTTCTCAATTTTGAAAGTCAGATTCTTGATTTTCTGAATAAAGAAAGTGAATTGGGAAAGACAGTGGCTACATTTTGAAGAAGTCACTAAAGACCTAATCTGTAAGAGATTTGGGGGGCTGTTTTAAGAGATATAGGGTGCTCTTCTCTTCATTGTGCCATTAACTTTTTTTCAGTCCTTTAGCAAGCAGTAGCCAGGGAATTTTTCTGTAATTTAAATCCACATTTGTTTCTTCCTAAGAGGGGGCATCTTCACCATGAAATAGAAGCTATTTCAAGCTATCAAATATATTTTTCACTATGTGTTAGAAAGCCCTCTGGTTTTTAAATCTTAGAAACCTGATAAATTTTTGAAAAAYGAGAAAGCAAAGTAGTTATGTTCTGAAATGTTAGAATTTCATCCATTAGATCTTCCATTACACTTACATTGAGTTATCTTAAATATGAGGCCAGATTACATCCTTAACAATTTATTATTAGAGATTCATAGTTGGTTTTTAAAAGCTGACAAATAGTTTAGAACTATAAAAGCTGATAGAAGAGATGCAGATAAAGATCAAGAAAAATTACAATTAAA